TTGATTCAATATTCTCAATTTTTTGCACATTTACTGAAAGGTATTGTTCAAGGATGGTATTCATTTAAAGATTTGAAACCATACTTTCCAAATCCACTTACAGGAGTTCAAATTGATGGTAAAGATTTGGTTGAAAATGATCCAGTGACCTATTTATATTGTTTATGGGAATTGAATTCAAAGGATTTTGTAAATGAACAAGTTCCATTTACAAGAGAGAAATTGATTTGTTTAATTCCAATCATTTTCTCTGCACTAGACCAAAATGATCCTGTAACTGCTTTACAATACATGAAATTATTTGTAAAGCATTATCCTAAAGTTAAACAATTATACATAACATCAGCTCAAGGTAGTGATGAATTTTCATTGGAATCAAGTTGGACAAAAGTTTTAGGTAAAGTTTACACTGAGAATGAATTTGATTCGTGTTTAGATTGGGAAACTGAACTACCTGTAAACCTAAATGGAATGTACAATATTTTTAAAACACATGCAGACCACCAAACAATTGAAGATCAATGGAAAGTACTCTCAGTTATTGAAGAGGAAGAAAAAAAAACACCATCCAATCCTTATATTTTAGTATTTAAGGGATATTTTGGAGATAGTGCTAAAGATTTTATTTATGGATCCAAATGTTTAGAACTCTTAGCCAAATCACCTGCCAAAGTTGAATTATTGAAAAGAACTGAGAAATTTAATGTATTCAAGAATGAACAACCATCCAACCTTGAAATAATCAAAGATTTCAAATTCTTTCCTCTATTATTTTGGAAATGTGTAGTCTTATCAAAACAGGAAGATCCACGAATGGCAGTAGAATTATTCAAACAAGTGGAATATTATTCAAAAAAACAAACTCATTTCCCATTATTACTCTTGAAAATGACTTTAGAATTCAGATTTGCCAATGATGAAGAGGTATTACGTATTTTCCAATTGATGGAACCATTCGAATCACAAACTAATCTTGTCCTTCTAGTCAGTGCAACAAACTATGCTTGCATGTCAATGAAAAATCTAGGATTAGAACAGGAAATTGTTCCAATGTTGGAAAAATTTATTGAGAAATATGGCAAGGAAAGTAATTTTACAACTATTCTCAATTACTATAAAAAGTAAAATAGTTCTATTTTCATTAAAAGTTACTACTAGCTCTCAACATTGCACATATTGTTTTTCAAAATTGCACAATTTTAAAAAGGAAGAGATTATATTGTCTAATTATGTTTGGGTTCCTAAAACTGGCTTCATCTTTTGACGAGAAACCCTCCAATGTTCCTCACTAATGTCTGCAACCCTTTCCAAAGCTTGGAATGATATCGACAGTTCTTGTTCCAGGACAGGTATTATATTCAGAGAGTATTTGCTATCAATGAAGGTTACATAAATGTTGGTACACCAGAGAATTTTACTCAATAATTTATAAGATTAAGATTCTGTTTCACTGATTCCAATTATGATCAAGTTAACCGTGATATGTGGTACGAATTCATTGGTATTGATTCTGAACAAATGGTCCATTCTTTTATTAAGAGAAAGAAGGAAAAGTATATGGAAAATTGTGGAGAATCTACTTTACTCTCCCAGTGGATCAAAGCACTGCTGATTACAATAATACACTTGGAAAGTTTGGATAATACAGCCAAGCTCTGTTTATTAATTCATTGATCATCAAAAGAATACCAATAGAAGAGATACCATCCAAAGAAATCAATATATTTCACCATTCAGCTCAACTGAGGAGGAAAGAATCAATTATTTGAAGAATAAGAATACTGAATTGTTAATTTATCACAGAACATCTCTCTTCGATCACATAGCTGGAGACCAAAAAGAACACGTGTATTTAGCTTATGGTACAGTAATCCAGACGAGTTAACCAATGAGGAATGGTCTGCAACCACTGGTTACCCTATTGATTATTTTGAAACTGTCAGACGTCTGTGGCTTTAAGTTTGAAATAATAAATATTGTCTGGTTTTTCAGAAGGTTGTATTGACAAAGTTCAAAAAGTCAAGGAACATGGAACAATTTTGTAAAGAACCTTTTAATCACTAAAATATTAATAAAATTATAATCAATTTAAAAAATGTCACAAGATTCACAATCTGATCAATTAAATGATCAACAACAACAAGAAGAAGAATATAATGAAGAGGAAGAAGAAGAAGAAGAAGAATTTAATGAAGAAGAAGAAGAAATTAAAAAAACACTTGATGATGAATTATTAGATAGTGCTATTAATAGAGATTTTAATAGATTAAAATTATTATTAATAGAAAAAGGAGCCAATGCATTCTATAATAAAAGAATAGAAGGAGTATGGGGAGCCTATGAAGAATATGGAGTAATACATAAAGTATTGCTTGGATGGGATGATATGAAAGAACAAATGCAAGCAATAGAATTATTATTAAGTAAAGGTGCAAATGTAAATGCTATATATGGTAGTAGTCA